TATTTTTTTTGTATATTCATTATTTTTTGAATTCTGTTTTTGTAAGTATTACCCCATGTTAGGTTGCCGTAAATCAAGTATGGATAGACTAATGCATATAGTATATCAGTTTTACAGTATTTCGGTTCACGAAATGTCGTATTTTAGCTATTATACCAGCAGCTCTAATTAATTAATTTGTTTGCTACCTTAGCTATATGATCTTTCCAGGTCAAACATTCGTCAATGACAATACCAAGGAATACTGTATTTTTAACTTGTTCAATATTATTACCATTAATGTTAATTTTAATGTCTTGCTTTGGTTTTTTATTTGAAGATCGGAATAATATTACTTATGTTTTTGTAGTATTTAGAGATAACTTATTCGCATTTAACCATTCAGCAACTTTATCAATTTCAATTTGCATAATTTCAATTTTCTTAAACACAGACAGACTGCTACGTAAAGAACTTAGAACTATATATATATAACAACTTCGTCTCTTCTATACTGACGATTAAAAATTTCCTTCGTATCTAAAAGATACTAGAAAATCCAAACGAATTGATGAATTTCAAATGTATATAGCAAAATCTACTCGAGATAAGCTAAATAAGGCTTCGTGTTTAAATTAGCCATAACACTAGTGCCTTGATCGTGTTTCAGTCGTGACAGCTTTTTCAGTGAACGTCACAACTGGGAGAAAGATTTGAAGAAATTCAAAGAGAAAAGTTTTCGTAGTTTCTGGAATTGCACGTATAGCGGCATATAGTGATGTCAATTGTGTTCCTGACGGGAAGACGAAATGTACTGATGATCAATATCGTCTTTGTTTCACAGACGCACCCGCCTTGAATGATACTATTGCTTCACATGGCAACTGAAGCCAATGACTGGACAGACACACGAGGAATGAGAATCATTCACTCACTCAGGACAGAAAAAGGAAGTAAAATTTTACATACTTCCAAGAAAAGACTTTTATTAGAACATTGACAGTTTTAGTCTTATATCTGGCATCACTCACTATATTGTATATATACAAGAATTTTTGGTAAGAGCTCGACAACTCTGTGGATTAGACGGCTCGACGACTCTGTGGGTTAGAGCTTGTCAACTCTGTGGGTTAGAGCTCGACGACTCTGTGGGTTAGAGCTCCGGCGACAAAACTGTGGTTAATAGAGGCCCGTTAGAGCTCGACAACTCTCCACTTAAAAGATATCCAAAACTGAACTATGCTCTGCACCTAGAACTGTAACTAATAATTACCTAAGACTTAATGATCTATACTTTTTCCATATACTAGTACTATGTGTAAAGGATAGATTCACATATACCTTTAACTTTACTATAAATGAAGGCCATTTGGAAAAATACCTTCCCTCAATAAAGAATAAAATGAAATAGCTCAGTTGGTTAGAGCGCTGCACCGGAACCACAGGTTCAATCCCTGTCAGAACTCAGAAGGTCCATAGTTGCATTCAGGGACGCCGGAACGATAATAAGGCAAAGGGGGGCGGACGCACACCAAGGGCACCTTTATAGAGCAAAACTTCAAAATCTACCGGAAAATTTTTTTTCAATGGAAATTTTTGGGCGATCTCCCCCCCACCCCCCCGTTGCCAAAAAATTTTCGGTCAGTGTACCATTTTAGGGGTCAAAAAATTTTTCCGGACATACCAAAATTTTCCATGAAGTCAAAAATGTTTCCTCATATCTTAAATTTTCGCCATTTCTTCAAAATATTTTTCTAAATTCCAAAAATTTTCCAAAATTTTTATAAATATAAACTATAAATTACCTAAATCTCATGATTTTCCTACAAAAAGCATCGTTGGAAATGTGATTTATCACGTAGTATTTTACAACTAAAAGGGCACTTCTGCCCCCCCCTAGCAAAAGGAAAGGGCACTTCTGCCCCCCCCCCTAGCAAAAGGCAAGGGGGGCAGCCGCCCCCCCTGCCCCCCAGTTCCGGCGTCCCTGGTTGCATTTTTCACAAGTGTTCCTGGTTAGGTCTTAAATTGTATGATTGATTGAGCTATCCAGTATAAATAAAGTTCGTGTAGTTTAATCATTTTAGTTTAGATGTTTGACCGCTGTTAAATGTGCGAAGTGCGAGCCTTTGCGCATGACTAAAATTTGGAAATGCTTTCACTGAATTGCCGACTTTTTTAGCGGCTGGCAGGCGGCGTCCAACGTGCGAATCGGGTGCAAGGCATCCATGTTGGTTTTGTTGTTGTAGAAAATCGATGAAAAATTTGCTAGAAATACCAAAATAAATATGAATGTCGAACAAGAAGTAGCGAAGTTAGCTAAACAGCTGGATAAAATAGTCTCTGAAGAGAATTCTGTGAGTATTATGGCAAAATATTTTATTAATTTTGTCGAATGAATAAATTGCCGCCATGTTTGTTGACATGCATATATATTTATATACACTATATGTGAATGACATGGTATGATCTACAGGTTTCTGATATGCGATCGTAAAAAATTATTAAATTTTTGGTAGTGAATGAGTGTTTATAGAACATTGTACGTATTTTATGGCATATTATAAGCGTATTTTTGTAGCATTTATACAAACAGCACCAAATGCAATCTCTGGTACCCATCAGAAGATATGGTTACCAGAGCATACCATAATTTTATCATGTGTGGAAGTTTTGATTGCAAAATCTCATCCCTGCCAGATAAGACTACACAATCTGTGCATGCTAGGAAAAGGACAGGTCTGTGTTCAATGGGAACCGTCATTTATTTATTTATTAAACTTTGCCAAACAAGTGGCAGGGTCACTGCAACAGTATACATGAATCACTGTGGGCACTTTAAAAATTGCTAAATTTTAAGAATACAACTAATATTTATTTATTTTTTATTAATGTTTATTCTGCTATTCATTAGCATGAATAGCAGAATAAACATCATTATACAATCATATTTTAGAGTCAAGAGGTTGCTGTTGATCTGTTAAAAACATTGAAAGATCTCCCTATAACGCTGGATGTTTTACAGGTCAGATTATATGGCAATACACCCTTCCGGAAAGTACGCCACTTTGGTTATGGAGCCTCGTTTTCGTGTACTTCGCATTAATGCAATCATGAAAACATGGCTCTATAGATTAACATATTTTCCGGAGGGGTGTATTGAATTAAAAGTTGCATTTTCTGATTCAGAATTTGCCAAATTGTAAGTTTCAGACAGTGGTAATGTCCTACAGTAATTTTATTCTATTTCTAATAAATCCATTTCAACTATGATGGAAAGTTAATATTTGATGATGTTTTACATGCAGAAAACGAGAATTGGAATGGCTGTGAACGTCTTACGAAAGTCAAGCACAAATCCTGAAGTACAGACTATATCTAAAGGCTTAATAAAAAGTTGGAAAAAATTGTTAACAGGTACTGAACTGATTGAAAGCTTTGAAAGAAAGGGTAGAATGAAAGTGACAGCCAATTGACTCCAACAAGTCTGATATCATCTGCACGTAACAAGTTATTAACAAGTTGATGACAACAAGCTTGTAGCAACTTGTTACGAACAGCCTGTATATTAGTCTTGTTGGAACAACTTGTAGCAAGTCTGTTACCGTCATCAACCTTGTAACAAGGTGATAACAACTTGTTCCAGATTTGTCACAACAACTGGGAACAAGCAGTGCAAACACATCCTGATATCGGCTTGACAACAAACTTGTCCCTGTTACAAGGGGTCCCCCCCCAATATTTCATGAAGTGTCCCCCACTGAACTTGAAGAATGGAGTATGAATCGTGGTTGAAATATTTCTCTCTGTCTCAGATAAAGAAAGTTCCAAGGAAGGCAGTAGCAGTAAAGGAGAGAGCGAGTCGACAGACAAAACGTCAACTAAATCTAAAACGACAGAGGTTGTTAAAGAGGAGAAAGTTGAGACGAAATTTGTGCCTCCGACAAATAACGATGTCAGGCAGAAATGTCGAGAAATGATCAAGAATGCTTTAAAAGTTGCTGAAGACGAGGGCTCTCAAGGTATGAAATAGTTTGTGCAGTTTTAACATATTGATTTATACACAACAACAAGATCCCTGCTCAGGCATTCACCCAAATTGGAACTAAGCAAGATTTAGCTTACCGGCACATCAAATGTATAATGGCAAGGTCATGTAAAGAAAATATATCAATAAGAAAGAGACTGTCCATTTTAAACCTTTGCCCCAACAGGTTGCCAAAGTGATAACCAGTTATTTAATCAGACGTTAATGTGTCGTTCCATGAAGTTTGGGACAAGTTTGCAAAATAATTACGAATGACAATGTTTTTTTTTGCTATTTTTAGATGTGGAAAGAATTTCAGCTGCTATCGAGCATTGTATCCTTTTAAAAAATATCGAAACTTACAATATCACAAATACGTATTGTCAAATGAATCCTCAAAGTGTATGACATGTCGTCTTTACCAGCCCTTCGTATTGTTTAGGTAAGCATGATGTACCCACGTAAAAATCTCACAACTTGTCAACAAGATGTGTTCGCAGCAGGCTTGTAGCAAGCTTGTCAATAAGTTGTAACAATGCTGTCATTTCATCAAGTTGCTACAAGGTTGTCACTCACAACTTGTTGACAAATTGTTGAATTGCAGGACGATAACAAGTTGTTGGAACAACTTGTAACAAGTCTGTTGAGCTCAACAACCTTGTAGCAAGTTCTCAACAAACCGTTGACAATTGTGCATTTTTACATGTGCAGAATGCCAAGATTGAAATCTTGAATTTACTTGATGATTCCTTAACGCAGTTATGCAGGTGTATTTGAAGAATTTAAGGACACGAACAGCAAGTACAAATCGAGAATTCGCAGCAGAGTCTCGAATCTTCGTGACGCAAAAAATACAAAGTTAAGAGAAGCTGTACTGATTGGTGAAATCACGCCAGAACAAATGGCGAAAATGACGGCCGAGGTAAACAATTTTAATTCACCAGTGTTAAACATCGAGACATGAGCATGCTACAGATTTCTTTACCACAATGTTTTCTTTCAAAAGGAAATGGCAAATGATGATATCAAGACGCTACGAAAGAAATTTACAAAAGAAGCGATCAACGACGCTCAGATGGCGGTCACAGCTGGTACACCAACAGATCTTTTTAAATGTGGCAAATGTCAGAAGAGACATTGTACATACACACAGGTAAAGACGTCCACCATTTTATGTCGAGTTGCGAACGTCAGTTATCGTTTGACGGTTTGAGAAATAGTTTTGGCGTTTGATTATATAAGGAAAATCGTCAAGGTCTTTTGAAAGGCAAGTGGGGCGTGGCTAGTGGGTAACTGTTTTTACCACTTCTTTCATAAAGGCAAGTTGAAAATTGATTGCAGGAATAAAATTAACTTGCCATTTTGCCCTCATATTTTAACAAAATTTGAAGCAAATGATCCCAGAAGTCCAACAGGATTTCCAGAGGTTTCTAGCCCGTTATACTATTTTATTAAACATTCAACTTGTAGATATATTTTTTGTGGGTAAATAAAAATTAAACTAATAAAAAACCCGTTCTAATCATTGACATTGGCATAAAAAAATCATAGTCTGTCCTCGTGTTTTAAAAGATGCTCAATGAAGTGTTGTATTTACAAATTTCCCCCAGGTACAAACGCGAAGTGCAGACGAACCGATGACGACATTCGTTTACTGCCAAGAATGTGGAAACAGATGGAAGGTTTGCTTAAAATCATTGTCTAATGCGTTTTAAATGTGGTTTACAATCAATCTTAGTGCTTTGCGAGACGTTCACCTATTCATGGTTATGTTTCTATTTATTTTTAGTTCTGCTGATGACGTCATCATTGTCCCCGGATCAAGACTCAACGACACAAAAGAAATTTTTAGAGTTTAGCGAACAGACTTTATTATGAAACAGACTATATAAGAATTTCTTGAAACTTTTGGAAAGTTTTAGTGATGTACAAAGTTTCTATATACTTAAAGGTTTAGTTATGTTCGGTATAGTATATAAGCGATAAACAGTGTATAAAGGCCTGATTCCACGGGCGCTTTTTCTCGGCGAAATGCGAAATATTTCGCCTGTTTCTTTTGAATTGTGGGCAATCAAGTAGAAATAATTTATTCGAGTGGTCGCAATTCAAAAGAAACAGGCGAAATATTTCGCATTTCGCCGAGAAAAAGCGCCCGTGGAATCAGGCCTTTAGAGATGTGATTTTCTCTGCGTATATTTTTTCAAACATTCAAGATGATCTAAAATCAGCGCGCATTGTGTGGGCGTAGCTGAAGGTGTGTTTGCATTTCAAACTTAAAGAACTACAAAATTTTGTGAAGATTACAATAGTTCACAAAATTATACTCCGTATATTAAAATCAAATGAAAAGAAGCAAAAAGTCACTTTTTGCAAATCAATGCGCAGTTTTAACTCGAATGTTGACTAATTGAAAACCACGAAAAAAGAACAGCAGACGTTTTTGAAACAGCATTTGTCTCGCAATTTAAAACAGTGTTAAAACCAGCTCTCCCTGGCTGTGAAGGTATACAGAGCACGACCCCTCGGAAAATGTAAAACTATCTTGCGTTTAAAATAAAATCAGTTACCATATCTTCTCTGCCGCCAGTGGAAAGTTGACGCAATATCCACGAGTGGAAATTGATCATAGCCTTGAAAGAGTGATTGTTGAAATGTCAGTATACTACAGTGTCGTCGCTATGATTCCTGTAGCTGACGTAGTAACGCTATTCTTCTATTCTGTAGCTCACTTTCACTCTCGCTAGATGAAGTATTCCACTCGGTCTAGAAAAAAGAACAATCTTTGAGCCTCTAATAGTCAAACAATTATTTGTCGTCTCTTAAA